TGCCCAGACTGTGTGGTGGGCAGGGCTGAAGTATAAACAAGAGGCAGCCCTATGTGATTTGGCTGTACATTGCAGAGGAATTTTGCAGATCAAGACTGTACTAAAGACACAAGAACAGCTTTTCTTCTAAATCAGGAAAATGAGAAGAGGGCTTTGGAAAGTGATAGTGGCCTGAGTCACTGGGATCTGATAGGATCCCCTTTGCAAACTGGAAATGAAGCACAGATCCCAGTTGTTAAATTATGGCTGCACACGAAGCTTAATGAAGCAGCAAACGGGGTTAGATATACTGATGTTACCAAAAGCATAACAAAAAGGAGCTACTCCCAGAGTAGCACAAATTGTATTTCTCCTGTACCTGTGTGGAAACAGCAGACTAGGGCATTTTGCAATGATATGGTATATTTCTCCAAATCCAAGAAGCAAACAAGTGCTTTTGCTCCTTACTCAAATTCCTTGAGCATAAATTGGCACACCTGGCCTTTGTGGAGTCTGGCACTTTGACTGGAGCTAAAGCAGTCTAACCAGTAGCAAAAATCTGTTCATGACCCAGCATGGGTCATAGAACCAGATTACATTGTGGTAAGCTACACAAAGGAAACCTAACATGCTGATCCTCACTCCCCAAGTCAATACCATGTCTCAGTGGAAGGCTTGCCAGTTCCTCAAGGTGACTGGACTGCTGCAACTGTTTTTGGGGATCTTGCACGCCCCTGCTGTATGGATATTCTCTAGTCTGCCCCATGCTGAGAATCAGTTTTGCTCTGGATAGTAAGATGCTGTTTGTAAGGTAGTAATTGCATTTGCTTGCCAGGGGAATTCAGAGTGGCTTTAAGAAGGAACTTGTGAGAAAAGCTCCCTGGAGACCTCTCCTGCCACATCTGAGGTAAATGGCTCGTTAAATGGCAGTGATTGGTTTTGAATGGTGCAGCTGCAGGAGGGCTCCTGGGAGAGTCACCTGCAGCCTTGCCAAGGGCTCCCATCTCCACCGAGTTGTGGGTCAACCTGGCCTGCCTGCAAGTCTGAAGACCTTAGAAGTGTTGGCAATAGTACTTGGTTGCTCTCTAAACCCTGTGCCACCTCTGCAACTTTCTTCCATCCACCTAGGAACTCACCACTCTCCAAGAGGAGGCTTCATGGTGAGTGTGTTTGCACCTTCATCATGTGCAATCCAACCTTCTTGTATTAGGGGTAAAACGTGCAAGAGGAGGAGGCAATACTTATCCCAGCATCAGTAAACTCGGAGCAGATTTTCTGTGGGAAGCCATCTGTCAGCTGGGGAGCAGTGCTATGTCAATTGATCAGCTCCACCTCCAGCTCAGCGCAGCAAACTACAGATCCCTGACCTTGTAGGGTGATAGTGGGGGAGTATTGGGATTTCTGGAGGCACCGAGATCCTGTAATGGAGCCTGTGTTTTTTTAGAGTGTGTGAGGGACACCCTGCAGAATCTTGCTTTCTCTTGTAGCAGTTAGCTAGGGAAAGCCTGAGCTTGCAGGTGAAAAGGCTATAGGACAAAGACAAGCTTTTTCCTGTAGCCGGGGGATTGTATTTCACCTGGATGATGTGCAATGTAAGGGACTTCTGATTTGAGCTCAACCTGTCCCTATCCCAATCCCCAATTTAAATCTGTCTCCCAGTGGCAATGTTGAACCATATTTTAACTGTTTCAAGGTAAAAAAAAAAAAAAGGTGGAGAGTGTGAAATTTCTGCATGAGAAAAATAGGAGCTTGTAATGTTCTGTAAAATCCTTAATGTCTAGAAGGATAAAATACTCCTTTTTGGTTTTAGGCTGCAATAAACCAATAATGATTCTATAGATTATATCTGTGTAAAAACGGTGAAACCATTTTAGATCTATCTCCAATTTAAAAACTTTGGCTGTAACACCACAGTGAGGTCAAATTCGTGCTCTCTCTGGTAGCCTTGTAGTTCTATATTCTATTTCATCTTTTTCCTTGATTTTCCATCACACATGCTCAAAAACAAGGAAAAGGGAATAGTGGCTCTTGGGCATTTTTCTTAGTTTGTTTTTTGTCCCCCAGAAAGGCAGTGACTGAGATTCCTATTCAGCTCTATCAGCAATTCTCCTAATTTATTATGAGAGGGACACATTCTTCTACGTTGTTGTCTGTCCTTCCTTCCTTGCCACTCTCTGAGTGCTGAGCTGGTTAGGGAGTGAAGAACATTTGGCTAGCCCAAGTATTGGGGTGATTAAGTGCCAAGAGACATCTTGGCAAGCCAAAAGCTGGACTGGCTTGCATCTCCTTAATGCTCTCATTTTGAATAGAAGTTGCCTCCTCTTGCTGCTTCTATAATAAAAATGCCAACAGTTGCTCAAGAGCAATTATTACATGCACAGCTAAGTGGTCTGTGCTGTTTGATTTAAGGAGGGGTGCTTACATTTCTCAGAGGAGCAGAATTGTTTAGCTGGGTTGTGATAAAGCTATCTGTTTGCTGTATTGATTTTTGATGTTCTGATACACTCTGGTTAGTAAGGAGCTCTGAATTTTCTTCCCGAGTCTTTGAAGCTGAATTCCCTTCAATGGTTAGACAGGGCACTCATGTGGAACGAACTGTCAGTAGGCATTTTAGCTTGACCCTGTTTAAATCACGGGTAAGGCATTACCTCCCGCACCTAGCTATCATGCATTCTAACTCCTGACTGTGTGTATGCATACTTGAAATACTAGTGAATTTACCATCTTGCATCCTCTATTTGTCACTGGGGAAAGCACCTAATACTTTTTCAGACAAGACTTCAAGATGCTGTGTGTCAGATGTTCCTGTAATTCAATAGCCAGGCCCTTCAGATCTTAGACTCTCTGCTAGAAATGGTGGAAACTGCAGTCAGTTCAGAGGCTCTTATGCATAAGTATAGGAAAGCTCTTGTTGAACTTAATATAAAAATAAATACTAGTCATCAGTTTAGCTGTCTTGCCTTTTCATGTTACGGTAAGGCTGAGTCTTCGCACTCTAGCATTCAGTTTGCTACAAGTGGCTTTCAAAGGCACTGTGCAATGAAGGCTATTGAAGATGCTTGTTCAGGCTTTCTTCATATTCTGGCAGATGCCATGACAATAGTTTGATTTTTCCTCTGTCTTTCCTAATTTTCTGCATAAGCTCCAAAGATATAAAGGATCTTTTTATTAGAAGAGTAGGTTCTTTTCCTGAGCAGAGTTCTGAGAGGAGGAGGTAAATTCCAGTGATAGAAAGCATGAGCTGTTTTCCACGTATTAAGAGCCTCCAGTTGCTGGTCCTGTTGCTGGTTTTGTTTTGTGGGGTTTTTTTTTAACTTGTCTCCAATTTGTTGATGCCTTCTTTTCCTTTTTCTTTTTACATGTTTATTTTTCCACTAAGCAAAGAGCTGCCCTAAGAGAACTTTCACGTGTGGGTGGTAAGCGGTATGGAGAAAGTACACAGAGTTTAATTACCAAATCTCGTAAGAGAGGCATGGGGATCTGGGAGCAAGGACTTTTGTACAGGATGTGACCCATGGGGAGCTTAGGAAAGAGAAACAGCCTTAAACTACTGAGTGCAGAATCATACCTTTTTTTGTTTTCTTTCTCTGGAGTTGCTGATCTATGGCATACTTGGTCAATATAGAAAATGGCTATAGCTAATCAAAACCATGACTAAAGGATGAATGGATGATTGATTAACTGGCATCCCTGCTGAGAAACAGCTTTACCTGGCAGGCTGTAGGAGACTTAATTTGGTAGAGAACTGTTCTAAATGTAACAATCTTGAGTTAATGTCTTGAGGCACAATAAGTTTCCCTAGGTATAAAATTCTGGAGTACCTCCTTTAGTATCTGTGGTTCAATTTTCAGGGCTTTTTAAGAGAAGATGGGGCTGCTCATTCTTAAAGGTGGTGATTGGATTTTGAGATTTTCTATTATAATGGGAATCTCTACATAGATAACATTTAATTCTGCTTCTTTTTGATTGGGTTTTTTGTTTGTTTGTTTAGTTGGTTGGTTGGTGATCTAATCCAACTACAGAAATCAGGAGGACTTTGCAGTTGATTTTAAAAGATAGAATAAGAGAGCATATTGGCAAATGCTTTTTTCCATTCCTTTCCATCATGAATTGTGAAGAAGCAAGGATTTCATTTTACTGGATGTGTCACAAATTGTAAGCCTGGTGTTTTTGTGAAATCCCAGGACAAAAAGGGTTTACACTATGCCATTGGAGAGCTGAGATCTATAAAAAACTCCCTCGGAGTCTTGGAGGTTGTAAAATGGTACAAGTTCTGAGTTTTGCAAAGATGAACTTAGTATGGTAGGAGGATATGAAACCAATACCAAGAGAAATATTGAGCTGACTTTTCTCTAAAACATGGTATAAACAAAACCCATGATAGTTGAGAAATCTTTTTTTAAATTTTAGTGTATTTTATGTTGTTCTGAGACTGAGCCTCCACAGTTGTAGAGCTCTGTGCTGCTGCTTGATTTGAGAGGGGTTGTCAGAGCTATTCGTGTCCAATGATTTTGCCTACTGTAATTATACTGTGGTCTGGATACTCAAACTAGAGTGAATATTCCATACTAAATCTGTTATCAGAGCTGCTGTGTATCCTGTGTATAGTACGTATAAGGTTATGATAATCCTGGGATTAAAGCTTTTAATTTCTGCAGTGATGGAATATTTTGTACTTATTCTCTTTTTCTGTCCTGACTTGTGTACCACTTGTTCTCTGTCTGTTAGAATCAGGCCTAACATTTGAAACCTTTAAGTAATTTTGGCAACCTGCCTTTAAAAATAAAGTAAGGACAGCTGGTCATAAAAAGGATTTTACTTCCTTCTCACTTGCTTCACTTAAATTTTAAATTTTAAAAGGTTAAGAATCCTTAAGCTCTGGCCAAGATTTGAAGTGTAAGATTCTGACTGTGTGCCTCCCCCTCCATGCTCAATGGGTTGACTAGGAATGCTGTTTATTTCCTTTGACCTATTCTTGTTTTCTTTTCCTCTCTCTCCTTCTCTTTGACTTCCTATTCTAGGATGAGTCATCCATGTTCTTCCAGTTTGGCCCATCAATAGAACAGCAAGCTTCTGTCATGCTCAACATCATGGAAGAATATGACTGGTACATCTTCTCCATTGTCACTACTTACTTCCCTGGTTACCAGGACTTTGTGAACAAGATCCGCAGTACCATTGAGCACAGTTTTGTGGGTTGGGAACTGGAGGAGGTCCTCCTGTTGGACATGTCCCTGGATGATGGGGATTCAAAGATCCAGAACCAGCTCAAGAAGCTTCAAAGCCCTGTTATCCTCCTCTACTGCACAAAGGAAGAGGCCACCTACATTTTTGAGGTGGCCAACTCTGTGGGTCTGACAGGCTATGGTTACACGTGGATCGTGCCCAGCCTGGTGGCAGGGGATACAGACACTGTGCCATCTGAGTTTCCCACCGGGCTCATCTCTGTCTCATATGATGAATGGGACTACGGTCTTCCTGCCAGAGTAAGGGATGGAATAGCCATAATCACCACGGCTGCTTCTGATATGCTGTCTGAACACAGCTTCATCCCTGAACCCAAGAGCAGCTGTTACAACACCCAGGAGAAAAGGATTTACCAGTCCAACATGCTCAACAGGTAAGGGAAAGAGCTAGCCTAGCCTTGCAAAAGAGGAGTCAGAGACAACCTCTGATACCAGAATATTTCTACTAGGGCATGTGGTGCATTGGGGCAGCAGGTGGTCTTAGCCAGAACGTGGACAAGGGGAGGTGAGCTGATGGTGGGATCTATGTTGCTGTCTGTCGATGAGTGCCAAGATTGTCACCTCCTTAGAAAGCCTCCATACAGCACAGAGGGCAAGTCAGCATGAAGAAAAGGAATGTGAAGGCCTAGTGCAAACATTTGAGTGTGCCTCTCGATGCACAAATTTTCACTTTCATAACAGCACTGAACTTCATGCCTTTGCATGAATGGGTCTGTAACTCTCAGGTGGGTTCTTGCTGCAAATAGTCAAATGTTTATGTTGAAATCTAGAAGGCACCAGGTTCTGTTCTAGGCACTAACAGTATGTGAGCAGATAGACGTCCTTTATAAGTGTTGGTTTTGTAATTAACTGGGAATAGTTTCATGGCACCTGTCATCCCTCTGCTGTCCATTAGCCCTGAATTACAGGAAAGAAGGAAGTACAAACAGAAGTGGAGAACTAAAGCTGCAAAAAAAGTCATCACCTCTGCTCAGTTCCTGTGTTATTCTAGGAGTCTTTAAAGACCTTGTGCGTCTTAAGGATCTAGTTTACCTCAGAGATTAATTAATTTAAGACTGAAAATTAAATTAAAAATAGAGAAAACCTGTTTCAATAAACATCTTTTGATCCAAATTAATATTTTCTTAAGAAACAGTGCTAAGACATCTATTTAAGGACATAGACAAAGCCTGCAGTGGAACAACCTCTAGAACAGTGCTCTGATGACTAGGTCTTCCTGTTTGTCTCAACTGGAATTTTAGCACATAGCAAAGCAACACAGATAATTAGATATGGAATATGCAATTGTCCAGATGCCCCCTGACCTGCTCAGCTGCCATTCTCCAATGTTTTACATATAAAATCCTTAGACATGTTGGACCCTTTGTTGTAGGACTAGGGGAATCCAATCAGTAGCCGTAAGACCACGCAGAATTCAGTGTCTTTGTTCATCTGTCATGTTGAATCATGGAGCAGTGGAAATGTGATGGATTGGTCTGTGTGCTATGACCCCTTGCTATCAACTGTACTAGGCAGATAGAGGAACTGGTGGACAAGGAAGCAAATTTTGCTTTACCTGAAAGCTGGGAACTGAATAAGAACTCTATTCTTTGATTATATTATCCATATTGCTATTTGTTCTTTGTCTCTATGATCCACTGGCATATTACCAGGTCTTACTGCCTTAACTTCCTATTCCTCGTGCTGTCTTTTTGCTGTCTGCAAACCTTGGAACCACTAAAGTTGCCCAAAGCTTTTATCAGTTTTCTTCCCAGCTAGGCTTAGAAGTAAGGGTTTTTTTCTGCTGCTCTTGAGTCATCACTGGAATGATTAAGCAGGGAAAATATATTTAATATATACAAAGTTATGAGAAGTAACATCAAGGCAGGCTGTTGTTCTACCTTTCCAAATGAAGAGGGATTTGAGGGGAAGCTCTATTGTGTCTTTTCAGCAGTTATCTAGAAAACAAGATATTCCCTGCTATGTTATGCAGCGTTCTGCAGAGACCTTCTGCTAATTAGTTCTGTTGACACTCTATTAGTCTGTGCATAACATCATACCCATATAGCTATACTGCTTCAAGGGCCCAACATAATCTCTCCACATAGCACCTTTTTGCATTGTATAGAAGTTGCCTGCTCAGAGACTCTTGAGTCTAGATAGGACAGTACTGTTGTGCAGTGTAGATATGCCCTGAAGCCTGGGCACCCCACATGAAAGCAGTTCATGTCACTTTTGAAGCTAGTAACTTTCTTCTCACCTTCGTGGCCCAAATCATGCTGTTTCTTCTCCCTTGTCTGCTTTGGGTACAGCATTCACAGGAATGAGTGCAGATACATGTACATATACGCAGCTTAGTTTGGGTACCAGCTTCAGACTCGCTGAGAAGCAGAGTCAATTCGTCCATGCCAAGTTCTGTTCTGCCACTGTGTAGATTGCTGCAGGCACCTGAGCTAACTCAGAAATAATTACACTGTTTTCCAATTGCTTGGGACCACAGTGCAGATATTCACATTGCCTCCTACGGTGCTGGCCTGTGCAGGTTCTGCCCCCACCCCCCTGCCCCACCCCATGTTTCCACCCTCTCTGTATTTCTGAGTGAGATGGTTAAAAAGTTTAATTTCAGTGAGTAGGGTGCTTAGTGTTTTTATTTAAATCAAATAACTTTCAGTCACCTTTTGAAGTTTAAAATCTAGTGGTGCCTGAAATAAGCCATAGCTTTTACAAATCCAAGCGGTCAATTGAAATCTGATGGCTTCAAGCTCAACCTCACAGCCTGGAGTCTGGGCAGGTGGAGAGGTAGAGGAGAAGCACAAGATGTGGAAAGAGGCAGATGTGAATATGTGAATTCACTGTACTGAACCAAAACCCACAGAGATTAATAGCTATAATATGTGTTCATACCTTCAAGTACCATTGTACTTGCTGGAATTTACTAAGTGCTAAGCTTTAAACCTCTCCTGATATGCTTGGTCTATCCAGGGTATTACAGATTCTACAGACCCAGCTGCTTCATACTTTCCCTAACCCCTTCCACCCACTAAGATCCTACAGCACTTGTGCATTGTGCACATCAGGCAGTAGCAATACCTGCATGTCTGGAAGATGGTTTCGGTCACTTTGGGCTGGACTGAGGATTCTGGAGAGTTAATTTTAGTCTTGCTCTGGAACCAGCAATACTATATTCAGCCATCTGCAACTTAAAGTTCCCCTCTGCATGCCTGCACAGAATAGAGAAATGCATGGCACCTTGGGCTTGATGTCGGTGAAGTGTATGTGTATGTGACCTCAGAAAATGCATCCCCATGTAGCTAGTGTTTCAGAAACTCCTGAAGCAAATCCAAAGCAGTCCAATTTGCTTTAAATCCATAGCTGGGGAGGCAGTGCTATAAAAGGATTTTCCTATTTTTCTCTTTGGAGAGTAAGACATACAACTAAAAAAATGCGTAATTTAGTTCAGTTGGGGCACCTTATACACTAACACTGTGAATTAGTAATTTCCCAAGATCTGCCTTTGAACTTTGTCCATTTTTTTACTTTTTTCCTCCTCTGAAAGAGCAGTAGTTCTGAATGCAGCTAGAATCAAATGGTCTTGCTCAACATGGTGTTGGTCATTGATCTGGGTATATAATGGAGTAAGGAGAAGATGAACAGAGTGTTACTCAGATTCTCCATATCTTTCTTCCTTCTTACACTGACATTTGTTCATTTTTGCAAGAACTTGCGCAAACAAAGTTTTGTTTGAAGTGTGGCTGCAAGCACAAAAAGAAACAAGACAGACTGTTATCTAAATGCCATTTCTTGACAATGTAGGTGTTTGGTCTGCATCGTCTTGTATCACTAATGGTCTCATAGCAACTGTTTCTTGTCTGTCTTGAAACTGGTTCTCTTTTGTGTTAGACTGGAACTGCAGAAGTATGATCATGACCATTGAACATTGCGGATTTTGTCCAGTAAATGAACACACTGATGAGATAACTCCACTAAAGAGTAGTAAAATGATACTTTGAGAAAGGTTTGTTTTACAAGATTTGTTATTTTTATTTTTGAATGATTCTGGAGGAATTTTTCCTCTAGTGACGGATTTATCTCAATTTATTCTGATAATAGGCTTAGGTGGTGATTTAGAGTCCAAATATCCAAATGCTGTTTCCTAGTTAAATTACAGTCTTTATTATTTGTTTTGTTTGTAATAATTACCTATTCATATATTCCTACATTGTCCCAGGAAGAAATCTGGTCTGAATATTCCAGTCTACCAAGTTTATAGTTATCTCAGTATCTGGTCTTCTTCTGGGCACCCAGCAAAACACTATGTGCTCTGCTCTTTGTGTTGGATCACAAAGGTTGGGAAGGAGTTTCTAACAGGGTTTTCTTCTGGAGAAATGCTCAGGTGAGCAGTTTTTACTTCTTGGCCCTTCTTAAAAGAGTTGCTAGGCTTCTTTCTTTCCTCCCTTCACCATGGCTGCTGAGGAGTGCGTGAGCAGAGGTGGATGTGTTTATAGGCAGCCTTCTGCTTATTTCGTTATTTTAATTGATGGAACAGATTTTCTTGAGCTCTGGATTGGTACTTCTCATTACATTTTAGAAATGGGAAGAAATAACTAAATGACAGGAGCATTCTTGGGAGTGGAATTCAGAGATGAGTCATGAGAAAAGAATATAATTTTTGGCACATATTTGAGGAATAGAAGCTCAGCTGTTTTGTATGGATATTCACAGTCATTGGGCTACATAAGCTGTGTTTTTATTATAGCCTTCAATGAGACCTTGGTTCTTCCTACTGGTTGTCATGGCTGCTTGTGAATGCTGGGCCATAACTACTAGTTTTTTGTTGTAGGGTTACTAATGAGTTCTCCACTGATTGGCTTTAATAGTCTCTCATTTAACACCAGGCTGCACACGCAAGATTTCATTTTAATAAAAAGTGCAGTGGAGCATTTGCTTTGGAATTAAAATACAAATGTGGAATTATACCAGCTTTGCAAAGAAATACTTTTAGAGGGGAACAAAGTTAGTTTAATTCTGTACCTCAGATTCCTCAAATAAGAAAACAGGTGGCAGTCTAGCTCAGTGCATTATTTGGACATGATGCTTCCACTTTGGAGGAAATAACTTTCACCTGAAAAGATGTCAAACACTTAGGAAATGCGGAAGAGCCTCTGATGAGTGATTGGAAACTGTTTTCCCTGAAACAACCAGGGTAAACTCTCTTCTCACATGGCCACAATCCCCTGACTGAAGCTGGGGAATTGCTGGGGCTTAGATAGCTGAACAGTGAGTCATAAGCAGAGAAAGTTCTTGCAATAGAGTTGTACAAATAAATTGCTTCCCTGGAGACTCAAGACCATAGAGGCTATACATATCCCTGAAAAAGGTGCAGTGCCCCTTCAGG